CCCCAAAACCCCAAAACCCCAAAACCCCAAAACCCCAAAAAATTATGCCAAAAATGAATAAATAATTATGGGGAATGGACATAGTGCCCAAGATGAATACCTTCTTGAGGCTATCCTTACTAATCAAGAAGCTGAAGTCTCAAATATCTTGACTAAAGATAGTACCAGAGTCAATGCACCTCTTCTTAATGGTAATTATTTCCACTGTTTGGTTTGGTGACTTAGTTGGTCCTGACACTAGTGAGTTTAGGAATGACAAACCCAATTTGAAGAGCAGCTTATCTTGGTAAGCGGAACATGGTTGCACTCATACTCAAGCATCAAGGAGATATCAACCTCAGTAAGTTTTATTTATGTTCATGCTTTCCTTCCTTAGTCAGTGTGAAATTGTGTAGAGTGAGGAGGGAAAGGCAATACTCCGCTTATGTGGTCAGCATGGAGGAACAATGTCAAGATGGTTCAGTTCTTGGTCTCTCAAGGTGCAGACATAGAAGCCACCAACAATGAAGGCCTGAATGCTCTTGATGTTGCCATTGTCAGAGTCTCATACGCAACAGCTTTGTTCTTAAAGAAACAAGGCCTTTCACCGAAGCCTGCAGAGTTTTATGAAGACAAACTCCAAGTCAAGTTTGATGTTGAATTGTTCATTGAGAAGCTAGAGAATGAAGAACAAGTCCACAGTTTCAATATTTTCTACAAGAAAATTGAGCGAGAAGAGCAAGAATGGCTGTCCAAAGACCTTGTCATCGACCCCAGAGAAACATGGAAGGTAACTTACATTGTTCACCACATAGAAATGGCTGACACGCAACATGAACTTTGAAGAGCCTCCAATGGTACCTCGAGAAGATATCCCTGAGGACAACCAGCCTCACACAACGTTCTATGGCAAAATGACATGCTACTTGAACGGAATCAACCCGTACCCACCTGGCCACAAGAATAACCCAGCAAAGACAAACGACACCGTGGATGCCCTAGATAAAAGCAAAGTGAAAGAGCCCGACCAAGAGCTGGGAAGGAACAGAGAGGAGAATAAAGAAGATGACTTGGCTATCGAAGACATCAAATAGAAAATTTAAATTAGGTTCAACCCAATCTTAGTATTTCGGGGTTTTGGGGTTTTGGGGTTTTGGGGTTTTGGGGTTTTGGGG